AAGCCATAAAAGTGAAGCCATTGTAGAGGGAGAGGGAGGGAGAGAGAGAGAGAGAGAGAGAGAGAGAGAGAGAGAGAGAGAGACAGAGAGAGAGAGAGAGAGAGACAGAGAGAGAGAGAGACAGAGAGAGAGTTGGTGTTCTCAATTGGACCACCAAAAAAAAAGTAAGAGAGAGCGGGACATGGATGCGAATAGTGAAAACAGAAACAAGGCAGTGAGAGGGCGGGGTTGAACATTGAAGAAGCCAACAAGCCACAGAGCCATAATTAATTAATCACTAATAACGTCCACTTCCTCCACACAATTGACATACCACCCACGTCACACATAAATTAACTAAAACTAAAGCAATTCAAACACCACCGGCAGCCAGTAGCAATAGCAGTGCAGTGACTCTTTCCGATCGGAAAATGATTTTGAATTTTGAGGTCCCGCCTCTTAATATTAAATGACCTTACAATGTTGAAAGGAGGCATTAACATATCTATACTATACTATCTATCCCTTTCAGCCCCAGCCATTTTTGTGCACTCCCTAACCCCAGTTCCAGCCAATAAAGCAGTATTTCAGAAAAAGAGGCATGCATTCTAAAAAGAAATATGTAGCATTTTTGTATTGAGGTGTAGATAATAACATATATAACAATGTTTAAGGGTAAATGAACAAACATTGTGAAAACTAAAGTTTAATTAGGTGCGTTAATTTTGAAGAATGTGCAAATTTGGTACCCCAGAAACAGAATATACGCTCTTGAGACGGTGAGAGGTACTCGTACAAGCGCTGCTGAAAATAATTGGTCGCTTTTAAGCACAAGGGGGCTATCCCGAAAAAATGCTGTTTTGAGAAAATCGAAGGTAAAAGCTTTTACCTCTTGTTCAGTTTCTTTAAAAGACAAGGAAAGTCTTCTCTATAACCAAACAAATATACACACCAACGAAACCAAACTTCTCCTATAGGTAGGGTAGTGCCCACTTTTGGTGTATGTCAAGATTTCTGAAAACTCCCCGAAATCTGGGTTAGCCCGTTTGTCCTTAAAAGCGACCAATTATACGCGCATGAGGCTGGGGGGGGGGGGGGGGGGGGGGGGGGGCTATAATAATGTGGAAGCACAGGATTTGCCATATCGGCACGAATGAAGACACATTATACACTCACTGACACAACAATGTCCATTTAGTGCAGAATAAAAGAAAAACAGGAGGACAGAAACAACAGAGTAAAAGAACAGAATTACAGGCCTACCTATCAGTGGCACCCTCAAATCACCCTCATTCACTCTTGTGTCAAATGTTCTTGACTTCTTAGGAAGAAACCCTGTTTCCAAACATTTTGTAAGAATGTTGGAATTTTTTTTTTATGTTATTTTTTTTGGAGGGGGCAGGTTGTTTTGTGGGGTTGGCTTTTTGTCCAACTTCATGTATTACGCTTCCTTTAACACTGTAAGGTTATTTAAGTTTAAGAGACCGAACCTTGCCCACATTTAACCCCCATCTCAGATGGGACTGAGAAAAGAGAAAAGATAATAAATATTATGATGAAAAGAAAGAAAAAAAAGGAAAAAAAGAAGAGAGAAAAAATATTTTCAAATGATTAAATCAATAAATGGAATCAATTAATTAATTAATGAAGAAGATCTATTCGGACATTCGGGCCAGATTCATCAAAGGGGTCACACACACACAAACATGTTTGACAGAGTGATGCATAACATGGTGAGTGGTCTGAGAAGTTTACCCAGCAAATATATATATATATATATTATAAATATATATGCAGAGACAGAGAGAGAGAGATAGACAGACAGACAGACAGACAGACAGACAGACAGACAGACAGACAGACAGACAGACAGACAGACAGACAGACAGACAGACATAAATCAGTCTGACAACTAGAGGGTCAAAAGAGTATGAAATATACTGGAGGAAAAAAATTAAAGAACACTTTCAATAGTTAGCTACAGTTCAATACAAGCCATTTATTTTAAACAATCTATTTAAAACAGTATATATATATATATATATATATATATATATATATATATATGTAATATCAGTCATAAGGCATATTTCCAAAAATACATTTCCACGAACAAGCTAAGCAAATGTATCATTGCTCACAGGACAAAGGAAAGAGGGAGTTTAAAAACATAGTAACACTAACAGTGTGCTTTTTCCATTCCATAGAACATCGATGTTTTTGAGAAAGGGATCGTAAATCCTGAATCATGAAAAAACTGTGATTTAACAGAAAGCAAATATTCTAATTTAGATTATTTAGGGGGTAGGGGTGGGCTACTTTGATTCTGCCCAGACAGAGATGCTTGATCAAAGAGATTTCAACAAATGGGAATCCAATACTAGTATGGCAATGTATGGATGTTACCCCTTTTTTCAGAAAACTTCCAATAACACAACAAACCAGGTTCAGGAAAGCCCCATCAAAGATTTGAACCAGGCTAACGACTTCTGTGTGTGTAAGCTAACGACCCAAATCATTATATTATTATGCACTGTGCAGACGCAAGTACTGAACCTGTCAACCCTCCCGATTTGTATGTTTCATTCACATTTCCTGGATTCAGTAACTAAGGAAAGGGTAAGGGTCAGGTTTAGTGTTCAGGCAGGTTTGGTTAATCCTAACCTTTACCTTATTTATATTACCCAAATTCAGCAAATGTGTTCTTACCCTATTACCCCAATCCAGCAAACTATGTGCATTAAGCGCAAATCTGAAAGATTGACATATGATCCCTTTATATTTAGTACTGAGCGGCAATATGTAGTTCTGAAGATCCTTGACTTTCTCATGTGTTCAAAGTCTTATCCAACATCATGTCGGCAAGCTATTCAAATCTTCTACGCCAAAAAAGTAACATTTTTCAGGAGAGAGGAAAAACTGTTTTCTGAAAAAAAATGTATCCACATTATGCATCTCCCCCCCACCCCCCAAATTTAGAATTGGAATTTTAGAACAATATGCCATAGGCACAGGCAACCTCAGATAAAGAAACTGCAATAAAAGAAATATTAAAATTTGGGGATAAATTCTGAACAGGAGGCCAATGATCAGCTTCTGACAGTTTTACCACTCACAGGGCACAGTCAAACAAATTTTTGTCCAAAACAGGAAAATGTACTTTATGTGGATGAATAAAATCAACCCTCATACCAGAGCAGAACTCCAGTCTGATAAGTCAAATGAAGCAACAAAGGTAACTGGAACATATAAAAAAACAGATGAATAATATGAGATATGAAATTGTCGCAAGACTTACATATCAACTGAAAGAAAGAAACTGGAGTGCAGGCTGGGGGAAAGGGGATGGCATTTTACGCTAAAATTTACGTCTTCCATATGAGACACAAATCCCTGAGCATCTCAGCAACATGTCATTGATATTCAACCCAGATTTTAAAAACAGTAATAGGTTGTAAAAATAAAGTAGAAAACAAAACTAGTATTAATTGAATCGAAAATTTGCATTTCAATAAATGATAAAATTCTGATAAAGTCAAGACACATAAGACACGCAAACAATAAAAACAAAGCTGGCAGTAAAACTACAACTATACTTTACATGAAAGACTCTGACAAGATAAAAATTTGCGAAACACAATTACAGGTAATAAAAATACATATTCTTTACCGACCCCCTTCAAACAGAGTATATTACTATGAGCACCTAAGTAGTATTTCAATGAATTCAAAAGTGACAGAAAGTGTAGATCTACAACTTCATTCCCCAAAACACTTTGTGATGGGTAGACAATCAGATCAAACAAAATGTAATTGCTGGAAAGGTGAACAGACTCCAGAGTAGCAGTTAAGCATTTTGCTATCGCACAAAGAAGAACTGTGTTCAATTCCCATGTGGGGGTCTGTCTGCAGCAGAGGCCATATGTGGACTAGATGAGCACTACTTTAATGTAAATCCTGTTTCATTAGGAAGCCCATAGAGTGGCTTCGGTTTTTGAAGTGACATCATCGTTATTATTTTGCTACTCATATCCCTCTCAGCAAAGGTTGGCCCTGACAGGCACGGTCAAAGCCTGCCTTCTAAATAATCTAAATCGTGCTGATGGTGACCATAAAAAACAACCAATATTTTTTTTTAAGAAAAAAAGAGGGGACTGTTACAAAAGGATCACTGCTCTTTTTTGCAATATTGGTAGAAAGGGAAAAACAAAACCATTCTCTGTTCTACACTTAAGACTGGCCAGTCATAGTACTCATGCGACATGCTCCCCCCCCCCCTCCCCCCCTTTTTTTTGTAGAGGTTTTATGGCACTCGCAACTGCATAAGGTTATATGAGCACCAGAAGATTAGAGGTGTTACAAGAGAGTAGCAAACATAGAAAAGAAGAAGGGGAGATAATGACGATAGATGTTTCATAAGAAAGAAGAAACAAACCACACCAGAGCACCCGCCAACCACCCACTCTCCTCTCCTCCTCCAATGACAATATAAGGAGCATAAGGAGCACTCATGACAAGACAGACCCAGAGAGACACATTGGACAAAGCCAGTGCCCCTCAGACTTTAAAGCAAGCCCTATGGCAACGTGGAAGCACTCACGAACCATATGTCTTCATATGTCTAGAGGTTCCAAAGGAAAAAAGGCAATGATAAACTCCTTAATTGTATGTTAATGTCAGAGTTAAATCCTCAACTTCCAACAGCAGTCATTTCAAAAGTGTAATATTCATTTTTTCATTCAAGGTAAGTGTTTTACATTGACGAGATTTAGATAATGTTGGATGTGCATTGCTTTGACCCTACCAGTCAGGCTCAATCAGGCTGAGAGGGATTCATTAAGTTGCAGCAGAAAAAAGGAGATACTTGTTAAAACTTCTCCCCATCTGTAAATAATACTTAGTTATTGGTGAGCAACGACAAAACCCCAAGCCACTACACCACAGACTCCAGTCATGTAGCATTCACTCTCCACAAAAAGGATACTGGGTACTGAAACAGTACTCCAGGTAGCATAAGAATTATTTGGACGCCTTAAATAAAATTCTCAAAAGTTCTAAAGGACAATATTGTTTGCGACTAATATTGCAATCCAATTGTCACCCTGTCTTTTTAAAAACTATGAGGAGGGTGGCATAACATCTCTTTACATATGTACTCAAATTAACTATTATGAGATAATTTCTTTTAAGCAATACTGCAATGTGTGTTGGTTCTTGCTATTCACTCCAAGCACAAACATCCCTCTACAAAGGATAGTATCAGGGTTAATTAAAGTATACAGTATAACCTAGATAGCTTAAATACGGATTACTCGAAATCACTCATCCATTGAACTGTGCTTACAGCCCCATATTTCTTCTTCTTTATCTTTGTAAGTAAACTACGCGAAGCTTAAACACAAACACGGAATAGTCGAAATAATTGCGCACCCGAGGTTTAAAGTCAATGTCCTTTAAGGGGCACTTGAGACAAAATAATAGTAATAATAATAATAATATATGAAAATAATCATTTAAAAAACGGGAAAAGCCAAGGTCGGTAACATACTACCTCTCCCCCCCCCCCCTTCCACAGAACCAGCAGGATGTGCTATTTTTAGCCCACAGCTCGACATGAGTGCTCTCTGCACATGCCTAGGTCCTAGGCCTAGCTAGCTAGGCTTGTGTGGAGTGGGTGAGAGGAGGCGCTGTGTATCACACGATCGGCCCAGTCACCCCTCTTTGCAAAAGAATGCACACTTGGTGGAAGAGGCGGGGTAGGGTGGAATTGTTTCGTCATAGTGTCGTTGATTACTCTTGCGATAGCATCTTGTCAAACTGTTTGTGTTTTGAAAAATTTTAAAAGGCACCATTCGATTGATGCAGACTAAAGACTGCTCACAGTGACGTGCGCAATTAAACTGTCTTGGTGTATGTACCGGAAGGCTTATTCCCGATCGAACTCGAAAGCGTTGCTCATCATGTTTCTCATTCTCAATCTGACAACTTTAAATTGTCTCAGAATTTCAAATTCAAGTTAACAGGCACATGTATAACCTATCTAATCAAGGACAATGGCCGAAAAAAGAAAAATCTCTATTCCAACCCAATCTTTGTTGCTTCCCTTGATTCTCTGAAACAGCGGATGCCATTATAACACTTTTCACGTATCCCTCGAACTATGGATCCCTCAAACTACCGAGGCTGGTTCCGACAAATTCGAGCTATCCGTGTTATACTGTAACTGAAACAGAATGTGGGAATCTCATACAGCACCTTGGGGCTTTTTTTTTTTTTTTTTTTAATTTTCAAATTATTTTTTTTTGGGGGGGGGGGGGCAGACGGTGGATTGATTTGGGAGATAGGTATCCAGGACAGACAGACGATCTGATTAAAAAAGAATCGCGTACCTACAGTCAAATCTATTGTGGTAATAAGCGTGCTCTCTTTATGCCCTGGATCACATTTATAACAGAAGACTGGAACTTAAGAGTCTCGTCATCAGAAAACTCCAGGAGGGAAGGAAGAAGCCCCTTGAAAAAGAATAGATGGCGATCCTCTCTGGGCGACAAGTGATCCACAATCTCTATCTCATAGTTGTTGTCTTTCCTCCTCTTCCGACTTGGCTCATCAAGAACAGTAACTGGATTGGACACAACAGAAGTGACTGGATCAGACACAAAAACACTGACTGGAATAGTTTCATTGTCGGATGGGCTTTCCTGAGTTTCACCATTACCTTCCTCTTGTTCCTCAGGGGATTCATTCGCTTCAACTTTAATGCTGGACTCAGATTCTTCTCCTGCATCCACTTCCATATTCCTTTTCAGGAAAGACAACTGAGCATGATAGATATAGTTCTTCTTTGACTTCCCCTTGGAGTTTTGCCTCCCTTTCCGTCTCTTGAGTGCCTTGATGTACTGATCTTTCACGTTTTTCCATTTCTTTTTCACCAATTCTTCTGAAATAGACAAAAAACAAGACACTTCAAAATATACCTTCAAAACTGAATTCTTCATAAGGGCAAGTAAGTGGGTTTTTTTTAAACATTAGATATCTTAACTTCTTAAGCTTATTACCTTTCTCTCTCTCTGTCTCTCTCTGTCTCTCTCTCTCTCTCTCTCTCTCTGTCTGTCTCTCTCTCTCTCTCTCTGTCTGTCTCTCTCTCTCTTTCTTTCTATCTCTATCTCTTTCTTTCTATCTCTCTCTCTATGTTTGCCTCTGCCTTTTCTTTACACACATGGCAAACAGCTACACTTTTTAAAAAACCGTAACAAGTCAACACCTTTATATCTCTTTTATGTTCTAGAATTTATATTGTCACAAAAATAAATGGATCCACATCCTACAACAGCTGAGCATTTTAGGTTATGAAGCGGTGTAAACCCATGCTATAGCTCGCTCACTCTCGTTTGTCCACGTTGAAAAATTCTAGCTTATTTATAAATTTATCTATGCCCACTAAACTATCAAAATCAACTTCATAAACTGTTCTTTGGATGCAAACACATATGACCTTATGCAGTTGCGAGTGCCGTAAAACCTCTACTAAAACTAAAAAAACTAAGGATGCAAACACAGGATTGCTAAAATAAATTATTTATAGCAGCCTTGCCTGCAAATTGCTCATTTATAGACAGCGACACCATCCTGACCTGAGATTTCAGGGTAAGCATGTAGAATTCATCGCACGGCTGTCTAAACATCTCCACATGAGTCTCGAAAAGTACTCACTCCATCTCTTGAATAGTGTTTTTTAGTCGTATATTAAAGTGTGGTTTTGAGGAAAATATGTCAACTTTTTAATCTTTTTTTTATATTTATAGATCTAAGCTGAACCCC